CCATTGCTCATTCGACAGTCTCTAACCACTCCTCTGACACCACCGGATCGTTTGAACCACTGAACTTCGAAGGTTTGTGCTTTTGAGAAAGATTATAGATTGGTTCCACTTGTCCAGAAGGTGTAGCACCCATCGGCATAGCTGGTATGGTTACTAGAGGTGGAACTAGTATTTGGAGTTAAGGCTGAACTAATGGAACTGAGGAATTTGTGTTCACTTGATTACTTATACTTTCCGGGGTAACCCTCCTAAAGGCCTCACTAATGGCTACGTGAATCATCCTGTTGATTGCAGCCTCATCTAAAACAGAAGCATTTTGGGTAGACGTGGCTGGTCCACTATTAGGGGGCACATTGGTCATCAGTGCTACTGGCTCACTAGTGCCTGCTTCATTAACATTCTCCTTACCCCTCCTATTAACCTTTCGTGAACGCCTTGTAGCCATACCCTTTACTCACAAAAATTTTAATCAACGTTAGCTAATTCTATTCACTAATCAAGTAAAGAAAATACTTACAACAATCGGCTGGAGAGAGTATCTTGGGGACGCATGAGGAATGATACTTCCATTACTTACAAACACCGTTTCCATCATCAATTAAATATAAAATAACTATAACAATTCAATCAAAACATCATTTCGAACACCCAAAATCGTGCTCTAATACCAACTGTAAAACCCCTTCCTAGCCGGGTATTTCCTAAGTATCCCTTGGCCGAACTTAGAAAACGCATGCCTAGGAAAGAAGTTTATTTTAAAATCCTATTTAAAGAATAAACCTGTAGTTTATAAAATATTTTTTTTAATTTCTAAACTATAATAAGTTCATTGTACAAGTCAAAAAATATAGTTTCCTTTTTTGGATTAAATTATGAAATCCATAGTAATACTTACTAGAACATAGACAATTTTACAAAATTTACTAGCAATTTGATTTCCTTTATTAACACAAACATATATATTCCATTATAACATGGACATATTTACTGCATTATGAGATATAAACATAATTACTACACTAAATACTAGCAAAACCATTCAATAATCATAATTAAAACATCCCTTCATGCTCCTAGCGTCCCTCAGAATCCTCTCCCAGCTTCATGCCTTAATCCTTACCTGCAAAACATTTTAAAACATTTCGTGGGGTGAGCGCTAATCGCTCAGTAAGGGAAAATGGCCATTTATAAACTATTAAGGTTCATTATATAAGTATATTACTTAGGACCTTACCTATCTACAAAAAATGACCTTCATTCTTTGACATAACAAGTTCATAAAACATATCATATAATTTGGACTTTTCTCATAAACATAAGTCATAACATAACATAACAATACATAATATAACATAAAACATATATGACTTATGAAATATTCATGTACATGGCATGCTTATTTCTTTTGTCTTTATACTTGATGTTTTCATTAGTCTTTGTTATCTGATCGGATTCATTTGAACCATTACCTTGTTCTCGGTCGTCACCTCAAAGGACTCATGGTTCCCAAGAGAATTCCATTCCTCTGATCTTGGTTTATACCTCAAGAGACTCATGGAATTCATTCTTTACCATTTCATAAATTTTTTCATAAGTCAACTAAATAAGCTATATGCATGACCATTACGAATGCAAACATATGGAATAACATCTCCCATGCTCAATCATACTATTCTCTTACTAGACTTCTTAAATTAATTCATTCAATTTCTCATACAATGCAAGGAATTTCAATAGTAAGATTATTCATGGGTTTATTAGAATTAAAAACAAATGGGAATTTCCATTAAGAAGGTGGATGCCATATAGTTTGTCACTTTTCAAGCAATTTTTCCCTTATCTTCCAATTCAAATTTATTTTTGGCTAAAACATAAAAGTTTTAGGTCTATTTCTCAAATTTTTAGTACTTCAAGAATCAACTAAATCAGACTTCTACAACTTCAGTTATGACCGATTCAGTGAAGCATGTACAGTATAAGTCTTAAAAAGCCAAATCCGAATTCTATTCATTTTAACCATGTCACCTTCATTTACACATTCATATCATTTGCCATATCATTCTAAGTATAAAAGGCCATAAAAACTTCCCTTTTTACATAACCAAAAAGTGCCAAAACATCGTCCAATTACAAATCTCTTAATTGGCATAATCATCCTCCATATGCACACATACATCAATCAACACACCCATTTAAACAATCCATAACCAAAACATAGCATCACACTCATATTAACACACCCATTTAAACAATCCATAACCAAAACATAGCATCACACTCATATTAACATAAATAAATGTAAGTTTCATAAACCCTAGGTGTTATCAATTGTAGTCATAAGGGAGATTTTTTCCTTACCTTAGGATTCAAAGCACAAGGACACTCCTCCTTAGCTCCAAAGGTTCACCCTTTCTACCTTACACACATAACCACTTATGAATTTCTCTTTTAACTAAAAGATCAGAACAACTAGGGTTTTGAAACTCACCTTAAACCCTAAAATTGAAGTTCTTAAAGTGTGGATGGTGATCTCCTTCGAAATTCAACTTGAAATCCTATGAAAATTATTAGTGTGTATTAGTGTATGCCCTAGAAACCATTCCTGTTGTCGATTTCAGAGCATTTTGTCTTGTATCTATATATCATAAATAAGAGAAGAAAGAGTTCTTCAATTCATATATATAAATTGCTTCCTTTATTCAGTCATACATTTAAAATAAAGTTTGTATATGAATTGTCCAGATGATTCATTTAATCGGTAAATGAATTATCAAAAAGGGTTCCCTATGGAAGCAATATAATTTGGGCAACTATATTGCATATAGGCATACTGGATGCTTCCGAAAGATATCATGAGTTGATATAAGTACGGATGACGATGATAGTCATGTCACTGTAGCATTGGTATGGATTAGCAGTTGGTGAACTGTTTTTCAAACGTGACCGAATAACGACAAATCACTTGGAAAAGCATTAAGTCAATGATTTATCGTTTGGTTATATCAATGCACAATGTAGGTCTTTGACCTGAGACATTGTGGTCGGATCCGATAAGGATAACGATGTGTATGGTTCATATGGTGTATAAGTACGAGACTAGTCATGTTTCATATGATAAAGCCTATTTGGTCATGCGTTGTTCATATGCGGAAACGAACGATGGTCAAGAAGGGATCCATTGACTCAAAAATATAGGATTAGGAGTACCGCTGACTCCATCCGGATTCGAGTTCTTGGTCGAACGTCAATAAATGTCAGAAATTAGAATCTCTAGCCAGAATCTATTATTAGTCATACAAAAGCAAGTTTGTGATGACGAGTTCCAGACATATTGATCAACGATTCGGTAAAAGATCGAGTTTAGGATTTTGACGTTCCATGAATCCGTGCACGATCAGGATATATCAATGGAGGGACTTTACCTGCATGGTACATATGATCTGAAATGGGTTCGATGAAGTATTTCTTCATCATGGTTTAGGGACTGTGGCACATTGCTAGATGTTTACCATAGTCGTTGGGCCTCCGGACAGGTTTCTGCATTCATCCAGAACCGGCTCACAGCTAATCCACGGTGGACCTACATGGTCACACCAATAGCCTTAAGAAGTTAGAGAAAGATGAGAGAGAGAAATGATTATCCGAAGAGGGTTAGCACCTTCCAAGGGTAATAACAGAATCTCTATGGTAATAGTTACATAGAAAATTGTTCGTGACATTTTAAGGGTTAAAATGGTCAAGCAATAATTAATTATATTTAATTATTATATCTTAAAGCATTAAGATTAATTAGATGAACGAAAATAACATTTTAATAGTTAAAGGGTAAAAGGGTAAATTTATGGGTTCTTAATGTAAACTAGTTTAGTTTACATGGACCCTTGAATAATATTGATTATTCAAAGGGTGACATAATAAATTCGTGGGGTCTCTTTTAAAATAAGATTTTATTGGGCTTGAAAGTGAAAAACAGATAATTACAAAATTGCCCAAGTATATATAAATGCAAAAGGTTGTATTTTAGTTCATTATTCACATAGTTCACTCAAAGCAAACTAAAAAGCTCTCTCTCTAAGCCGAGGCCACTCTCTAACTCTCTCAAGGCGGTGTTAAAGTGTGGAGGTCTCATCATTTTGAGTCTTATCTTCATCAATCCAAAGCAAAGGAGTAGGTACAATGTTCTTTTCCAAGCTTTGTATGAAAACATTTTTTTGAATCCAACCTTTCATGCTTTCAATCTTCATTTCCACCACTCTTCATGCATGTTGTTGTTTCTTACAAAAATTTGAGAATAAAGTGCTTTGATTAGTGGCTTTTATGGTGGATTTGAGAGAGGAAGAAGAAGATGATGCACTTGGTGTGTATAAGGTCAACCACTCTCTCTTAAAACCTTGTAAATATTTATTCCATTGTTACTCTATTATGATTGGTCAATAAAAGTTAGATATAAGGGTCATTTGGCATAACTTTTTCATATAAGGGCGTTTTGGTCATTTCTACCACAGCATAATTCAAGAAAAACTAATTTTTGTTCTTCACATTTTAGGCCCCCTAGCAAATTGTCTTTAGGTTATATTCTTGGCTTGTATATTTTAATTTGTGTCTCCTGGGCAACGATAGCTGATTATGGATTTGAACAAGTTAGCAGTGTAATCAAGAAACACGAATATTATCCATACATATTAAGCCCCGTAGCAACTCAGTTGGAGTATATTCATTCCTTGTTAAGCATGTCTTCTTAACGTATTTACTGGAGCAGGTGTTGTACTGTCAAACGCAAATACGGACAATGATAAAAAATACTATACATATCATATGACCTTATCAGATCTTTTAACATAATGAAACATCATAATCTCGAAAGGTTTAAGCAAATGGGATCTGCTATAACCACTTAATGAATTCTGTAGGTTGCCTGTCAGTTTTAAGACTACTTAACAAACATATACTCACCTGAGAAGTTTAATTAGAAGATTAATTTATTCAAACTTGCATATAGATTGATACTGAGATTGGGGCTGTTTGACTTAACTGCTGCAGGAACTAAATCAATTATGTGATGTTATTGTGGAGGCACTTCGGGATCGCATCGTAACTAGTCTACTTCAGGCATCACTGGTCTGTGCGTTGTTTTGTCTACAAATTTCAAAATATCGTTGGAAGTATATTTTTTTTGTTGATAATATTTCTTTTTCCAGGATGGTTTATTACGTGTCCTACTAAATGGAGGTCCATCACGAGTTTTCTTCCCTAGTGAAGCAAAACAGTTGGAAGAAGATTTAGAAATTTTAAAGGTATTGCCCAGTAACTCGTTGTCAAATATAAAGACAGTAGGAGCATTTTTGTATGGCAAAAAAGACGGTTGTTCGATGTTGCTTTCAATGCGTTCAAAAGTTATGCCTTTCTTGTTGAAATTTCAACAATTTGATGCTATGTAACACTTTATTATATTAACTTGATTGAAACTAGATATTTTCTGCTAATAAAATTTTGGTACTTTTCGGTAGGAATTCTTTATTTCTGGGGGAGATGGGCTTCCTCGAGGAGTGGTAGAAAATCAAGTAGCACGTGCTCGGAGTGTAGTAAAGTTGCATGGCTATGAGGTCAGTTATTGCGCTTTCAGTTCAAATGTTTTAATCATTGATGCTTTATATTTGGGAAAATTTAGTTACTATCTTCGATGAGGTTATTAGTTGCAGTAGTATATGAAATAATACCTTTTTCTAGTGCTAGTATTATTACCATCACAAAAGTCAGCTTGGTCGGATTGTTATAACTACTTGTAGCTCTTTCTTTATGTTTAATGTTTACTAATTGATAATCGTTCACAGACACGGGAGCTGATAGAGGAATGTAGATCTGGAAGTGGTGCGGATTTGCAGGGTAGTAGTGCCAGAGGCAGATTAGGAGCTGATACCGACACTTTAATAAGAATTTTATGTCACAGGAGTGATTCAGAGGCCTCTCAATTTCTGAAGAAACAGTACAAGATACCCAAGTCTACGGCCTAAAGAATTCATGAATTCTTAAAATTCAGTTACGGCGTAAATTAATGTTACATGTTCATTTGTACTTTGTAGTACCCGTTTTGTACATTATAATTTTATTGTTTTGAGAATGTGATTATACATATTGTTTTTCTTTTTATTATATGCATTAATTTCTTTTATTCTTTTGTGTACAATATGTAAGAAGCACTTCTTTTGCAGAGTTATGAAATTTGCTTCCTTTTTGTTTCAGATTAGAAGTATGACCAATAAGATTATTGTATCTACGGTTATGGTTCTGAACTTAATATATTTATTTACTTTAATCGCAGATTTGTTACAATTTGAGTGGCCAAATTCAGTAGCATTTTTCAAATTTCTAGTTCAGAAAAATGAATCTATTTTTAGGTAAGGTATGAAGTGATGGATGAACATTAAAAGCATCTCAAACTTCAATTATAATTATATCAGTAGTCTACTTAAGTTATGTTAAATTTATAATAGTGTTTTAAAACCTAGCCCTGCTCGGCCGGTTGAATCGAGACTTGGGGCCTTCACTAGGTTGGGTTACACATTTTTCTATTTATTAAAAACCCTATAAATTAGGACATCAATCTGTGAACAATTGAAGACTGTAATGTTAGGGCTTTTAAAGATCAATGGTTGGTGAGTACAATGGTGGCGATGTCAATGATTTCTAGTGAGTGAATCAACTAGAAATTGTAAAACTACGTCATCAGAAAAAGCTTACTGTTGTCAGTGATTAGGGAGGCGAATGGGAGAGGGGTGAGATGAGTTTTGATTAGGAGGCTTAGGGGAGTGTTTTTATGGTGATTTTGAGTGTTGTTATTGGAAACAAACCCTATTTGTCAAAGCCGACGATGGTCTTTGGGGGTGTGTTTGCAAGATTTTAAACCTATAGGTACTTACAGGTAATTTTTAGGGATATATTTGTTAGATTTTAAACGTTTGGACATCGGTTTGACCGACAGGGATATATTTGTTAGATTTTAAACGTTTGGACATCGGTTTGACCTGTCGGTCAAACCAACTAAACCGGTCAACTCAGGACTTGGCCACTTTGCCAAGTTTCACCTTAAGTTGGGTTTTAAAACACTGATCTTTGGCCGTAGATATGACATTTTCCAACTAGATCCACTATGGATCTAGCCGAAAAATGTTAGATCGACGCACTATCGGCCAAATCTAACCAATAGTGTGTCATTATGGTAGATTCTGACCACCTCCAATGGTGGTGGTCGGAATCTGACAAATGTGGGTGGGTGGGATTGTTTTTGTTAATTTATAAACTTTTTTTTTTTGGGGAGTATTTAATTAAATTAACAAATCTAAGGGATTTAAAAATAGTTGAATCGAATATGATTGAATTTTGAGAATAAGGAAACAAATATGTATTTTGGGTATGACGGGAAGAAATAGTAAAACAAATGCAGCCAGGTTTTTAGTTTTTTAATTTGACTGAAAATCTAAATTTAATTACAACTTTAAGAATCTAAATAAATCAGTGGTTCCGTGGCCCTCCCACTTAAAAGAAACAATAAACATTGACAATATCCATTTATCTCTCACTCTCTCAACTTCTTTAATACAGAAGAAAAAAAGATTAAAAATAAAAAACTAAAAGAAAGAAATATGATTGGACTTGATTTTGGATCATATATGAATTGGTAAAGCTTTTTCTATCAACAATCAAATAAATGATGCTTTTCGTATCAAAATAGTGCATTATGTCGTCAAGGAAATTTCGGTTGGTGTCTGAAATTGGACCAATTACGGGAATGATATAAGACTATTATTTAGAAAGAGAAATTGAAAGATGTACAAAACAGTAGGCCCTTCACTCTGTCAGGGACTTTTATGAATAACATAAATTCAACCATACATTCTTCAACCAATTAAGAAAGAAACCTTTTTTTCTTTTTCTTAAATTCAATTACCATACCATTTATATAATATTACTAAGCATGATCGGTCCATGCAAAACAAATACCTCTTTTGATTTCTCACTCTAACTTTGGTTGCCGACAAGTCATTGAATAATGAAAGAAAATCATTATATCAATTTTTAATTGTTCAACACTACACTCATACTCTCACACATAGGTTTCGAATAATTGTTATTAATTTTAACATTGTGAAATATTCGAAAGTGAAGCTTTTAGCACAAATTATAATAAAACAAGTGTTTGGAAAATCTGAATAAAATAAAACAAGTGTACTATTTGAACTCATCTTAATGAAAGGCTAGATGGTTGGGACTACCTTTATGTTATGAGAGTTCATTCTACATAGGGTATCCATTATTTATATATGTTGTATGAAAAATTAGAATGCAAGCTCGTGTATATCAATTAAATAATTAATTTAGAACATCTCACCGCTGATAATGAAGAATACTGATAATCTCATGAACTGAACCTTTTTAATATCATATGATATAATCGTTTTTATAATTTTTTGTTTCAATGTGAAAATGAATATGTGGTGGGGCTGTAATGTTTACTTGATATGGCAGTAAGACATCTCAAATAGTCACAACATTACTTTTCTATCACCGTTTTCACTAATACATTCTTTTGGAAACTAAACTAACTTTACAGAAATAAACCAGTACAAATCCTTGTGAGGCTTGAACTAATATACTGCTTTCCACAACAACAGCCCTTAAGCCAAGCAAGTAGGGGTGGAAAAAACCGGTTTACCCATATCTTGAACTGAACCGGTTTTCGGTTTTAAACCAGTTAACTAAGATGGGCTGAATTAGTTCAGCCCAATTCCTTCAAACCCTTCACTTTGGCCCAATTTTTTTTTGTTTATAGGTTTATTTAAATGGGTCTGGACCATTTTAGCCTAATTACATCCATTCCTCCACCTTGGCCCATTTTTTAACTTGAATTGAAGTTATAATTTTTCTAATTGAATAATTTGAATTTATATATTTTTAATGTATATCAAGTATTAATAATTTAACATTATAAATCAAAAATTGCAAAAACAAAGACATGATGCAGACTCTGATTTCAAATTATAAAGTACACAACGACATTTATAAATCAAACATATGCAAACTGAAAAATAGTCCCTTGCCAACTTAGTTTCCACCCTAAAATTACAAATCAAACACATGATTAAAATAGCAAACACATTTCCACAAAATCCAAATCAAACACATGATTAAAATAGCAAACACATTTCCACAAAGCAAACATAACAAATACATTTCCACAAAACAAACATAAGTACATTACCAAATCAAATAGTGAAATGCAAACTTGGAAGATACACAAACAAAGTTCACAAGACAAATACAAATGTAATAAATCCACAAAAAAGATTTCAAAAGAGGCCTCAAAGCAAACAATAACCCTCCAACTCCAAGCACATTCCAATCCATTGTCAAATGTCAACTGTCAAAGCAAAAAAAGTTCCACAACTTGTTAGCTAGCTTCCATTTTAAATTTCTTTCTTTTTATAAGTTTGTCCAATCAAACCTACAAATTAGTAAATAGATTAACAAATGAAACTAAATAAAGTCCTAGTATGTACCTCGTTATTGGAAATTTGGATTGCCCTTCAATCATTTAGTTAAGGACAAGTACTTTCTATTCTTAAAGATGGAAAATCTACAAAAAGTTGGACAAACACATAATTAAATAATTGAATGTATAATTAACAAATCCAACAAAGACATAATTAAATAATAGAAAGTAAAGCAAAAATTTTACCTGACTCAATTTTTGTTAACTCATCCAAGGTCTCCTCAATGACTAATGGTGCACGCATAGTTTGAATCCAATCTTGTGTGCAGAGAAGAGCCTCCACCATTTTCGTAGTAAAGGAGCTATGAAATGGATCCAATACACGACCTCCTGTACTAAAAGCCGACTCAGATGCAATAGTTGAAATAGGCATAGCCAATACATCTTGTGCCATCAAAGAGAAAACTTGATATTTTGTTGAATTCATCTTCCACCATTTCAAGAGATCAAATGTCTTGTCGTTGTCATCTTCAAGGTCGTCTGCTAAATACTTATCCAACTCTGATTTAGGCTGATTAGCTTGGTTTCCAGCCTTTCGCTTTTTAAACTTAACCCTCATGTATTCTTGAGTATCAATATCAACATCACAATCATCAAGCACACTTACACCTGGAGATTGCTGACTTGACTGCATAGTAAGACCCCCAACCACCTTACACAAATTGTAATGGTTAAATAAAGACAACAAAGTTTCCATCACTTTTTTCTTTAACTTATCAGCAGTAAAAGCATCATAGGACTCACCAATCACCCAATCAACATATTCTAACTAGTCCCTTGGATCCAAAACAACCGCAATGAATAACATTATGTTGATATTATCAACATTTGACCAATATTTTTCAAAATTTCCCTTCATCCTTACCACTATAGAACTTAAGTTAAGATCATGACTATGAGATCATTCTGAAATCTTCATCCCAATGTCATATATCTCTCGTATGTACTCATTACCGGTAATGTAAAAAGAGTCGAACACATGTACAATAGTGTCATAGAAAATTTTCAAAGAGGGTAACAAATACCAGGTATATTCCCAATCATTATACGTAGGCAAACCCCTTGACTTGTCCCCACTAGAAAGCTCATCTCTGTACTTACTATCTTCTATTTTCAATAAGTCAAATGCTTTCTGGAATTTAATTGAGGCATCCAACGTCAAGTAAGTAGAGTTCCACCTTGTTTCTACATCAAGCACCAAATGACTCTTTCAATTTTTTCTTTCTCCACACACTCCTTAAATCTCATTAGCCTTGCTGGAGAAGACCTCATATACGTCACTGTAGTACGAATTATAAATATGGAGTCATCCATATCTTTTAACTCCTCTCTTACAATCAAACTTAGTATATTTGCACAACATCTCATGTGAAGAAATTGACCACCCAAGACATTTCCCTACCAACTTGCTATCCGAGTCCTAAGGTATCTTATATCCACATCATTAGAACTTGCATTGTCAACCATTACTGTGAATATTTTAGAAATACCTCAATCAAGCAAGCATCTCTCCACTGCCTTCCCAATGATTAAACCTTTATGA